TCAAATCTCAGCTCTCCTTGGATGAATGATAGCAATCAATGTCCTAACTTATTTATAGTGGTTTCAGACCTATACAATACACATAATGGACTCAATGAAGCATATCATTGCATAAATACAATGTATATTACACACAGTGCCTGTGAGATAAGGAGTGCTTGATGCATTATCCATAGTAATGATGCTGTCACTGTGGTGATTTGCTGACCAATGATGAGCTTCTATGCTGAAAATTCCTTATTTATCTGTAAAAAGCTTGATGTTGGATCAGATTTCATCTATTAAATTTAATCTTGGTGTTAGTGCAATATAGGAACATGCATAAAAAACATTCTAGAACAGGACAGACACTGAATAATAACACAAAACTAAGGACTAAATAATGGCTCTCACCACACCTCTCTTCCCACTCTGTCCCTAAGATATTTCCAGAAGTACTCTAGAATCAGACAGCATTTCATCTCATGTTGTTTCCATCTGCAACAGGCCTATAATCTTACAAACACACCTCTTCTTCAGAGAAATCATTCACCAGCCCTGCCATCATCCATGACACTGTAACTTCATCCAGGACAGACAGAGGCTTGGCCAGTACTCCTCTGCCCACCACCTCTGCGTCCCCCACTTTTTGTCTACACAATTCCAAGGGTGATCTGGAAATTCTAAAACATGGCAACACACTGAAGGTTTCTTCTTGTTACCAAAGCATCCCAAGGCTCTGTGACTGGTTGCTTGGTTACCAATAAGATACAGAGCAAAAGATTCATTAGAAGCTAAAGTACAAACCCATGATGCCAATGAAGAGTCCCCCCCAAATCCTTCCAACAAAAGACAACTGTTACATTCACATTTAGACAGTCATTAGCAGAACAGTTTCTGCCATAATAATTGCAAGAGCTTTGTAACTAATTCAATAGATAGAATTTCTAAGGGTCTACAGTAAATGTTCCCTTGGAGGAGATGAAAGCTCAAAGGATGTTAGTTGCTAAAAGAAGATGTGGGTGAGTGAAAGACCAAAATTTTCTTATTACCAACCAGCTCTGTACTGGCAAAATTTAAATCAAGGCTAATAAAAACTTGAAAAAGAAAAAAAAAACCATTGCTTTGCAAACATCAAACTCTGTATCTTCTTTCCATCTTTTCATGCCTCTGAAAATAACACCTAGGTGGTGCCACATTGGGCTTGATTTCTTGTCCTAGAATGCTTTCTCCAGTCAGAGGATAGCAGGACAAACAAGACAGGTAAGTCTAGAGCCTTCCAAGAGCAAAGGAGAGCTGCTGGGAACTGGTGGATTTCCAGATCTGAAACTTTTAATCTTGAAACCAAGAAGTGAACCATGAGCCTTTTCCCTCTAGAAAGAGAGAAAAAGCAAGAATCCTTTTGTGCTTGTGAAAAAAAACAGGTCCACCAAGCCTCATCTGTAAATACTCAATAACGAATCACATCGTTCCAAAATGAAAATCTCTCACTATTTATTGAACTGAATTCCAGGCTCACAAGAAGCCTTTTAAGTGAGATTCTCCAAGGACCTTCTAAATGCTGTCTCATTATCATTCACCTTCATTTAGAAGTTAAGTATCTTCATCTCCATTTCAGAGTTAGGGGTTAACAGAAAGGTTAAACAAATTATATAAACTTACATTAAAAGTCTAAAATGATAGAGACCAAGGTGTATTATCCCATGAGGATGACATTTCTTTCAAAAAATTAAGCAACATACTTAATTATTTTAGGAGAGTCTTTCAAAAAATATATTTTATCTGCACATAGTGGTCTACAAGGAAAAGGCAAAATAATAATAATAACAATTGTATTAACTGCAAAGCCAGTGTGTCTTCCTGCCTCCTTGCTATTTTCTGTCCACACCCATGTGGCTGAAGATTTGAAATGCTATTTAAGTCTCAATTTCCTTCAGAAGCTAACCTCTGTGGAATAAAATGCTGTTAAGGGGGGAAAATCTTTTCTGTCATTTGACTTTAACTTATGATAAATTAGCTTCAACTAGTTTCTTAGAAAATTGCCCAAGAAATGACTACAGAAAATTAAATACCAAGACTTCAAAGAGGCAAACACACAGCCTTCAAATTCCGACCTCAGAGAATAATCCTCCCTTTCTCGTGCTTTGGTGAGATGTGAGTAAAGAAATCTTACTAGGACATGATAATGAACCATCTTTCAAATGACTTTTCCATCAATCTTCTTTTCAAAGGGTAATAAAGTGATGATTATTTCTAGGCAGTTTCTGGGAAGTTATCATCTCATTTTAATAGTTACCAGTAAAGAACTGCACTCAGGCCTTATCACCAATGGTGATAAGGGTAAGAACTGGTTAAGAATTCAATACAGAAGGTGTAGGTTGTTAAAAGCTATTTCCTAGGAAATTAAAACAGAGAGACATCAAAAGAATCATATTGGGTCTTAAAGAGTTGGTAGTCATTTCCTTCTAGGTTAAAAATGTAGATATAATTTATGAAATTCACTATCATTTGAAGATTGTGTTATTTCTTTTAAAGAAAATATGGTTGGCCTCATGCTGTGAGCCATGCCTTTTGCTTGATCTGGCAAGAAACATAAGAGGACCTGAGAAGGGCATGTGTCATCACTTCCAAAACCAGAGTATTGGCTCTCATTAAAACAACAGTCAACAACAACAAAATGTTCTTCAAGCACTAACTGAATAGTTCTTGGGAACTCTTGACCACCCAGCATTTGTTTTACAAAGCCAGAGGAAGGAATGCCCCAAATTACATTAAATCTCACTCCTCTGAGATGCAAAAAGCTTTAAGACAGCAAGGGATGGGCACCACTCAGAATCCAGAGATGGAAAGCCCATGAACAGGAGACTCCATACACTAGATTCCCTGCATAGGAGCTTCCTGGCCTCTTCACAGACCCTCACATCCAGATCCCACCCATGACCAAGGCTCTGCCCCTAGGAAAGGATTATGCCGTTCATCTTCACTCGGAGACGCTAGAACATCCATGTCTTCTTATTCACCCTAATTCTCTTACCCCAACCGGAGTTCACTGTTCTAGCAGGGAGGGTACAGGACCCATCTCTGAATCTGACATCTGCCTAGAAGTCAAATATCTCAGGACTTTGTAGAGATCCAAACGTGGAACAAAAGGAGAGAAGGAGGAGGAGGAGGAGGAGGAGGAGGAGGAGGAGGAGGAGGAGGAGGAGAGGGGGGGAGGTAGCCGTTGGAGAGCAGTTATTCTGATCTTCACCCCCACCACCTCACCAACAATGCTGCTGAGAAAGGGTGATTCCCAAATGACTGCTGAGGACCATCGACTGAGGGAATGAGCACTGCCTCCCTCTGTGATCATGTCACTCAGTCAACACTGTCACAGCACATGCAAGCAATCCCAGGGTCCTTTGCCCAGCAGTTCTTTTTTTCAGATAATATTCTGTAGTTGTTTTTCTTAGTGTTTAAAAAAAAAAAGCACACCACAAAAATTTGCAATCAAGTTGTTGTATTTGCTTTCAAGTTTCACTCCAGTTTATAGGTATTTTGGTCAATAAATTGGTGCGTTTGATTTGGCCCTTGCATAGGTAAACTCTGCCGTTTGTAGAGTTGAGCACAGCACTGAAGTGAGACCAACAGATCCCTTACTGATTTAGAAATTAGACAATACTGCTAAGCACCACCTCCCAACAACAGTATTAATCTTTTATCCTCACTGCCAATCACTGTTTCCCCCAAGCACATACTTAAGGGACTGAGACAGGAGGATTGGGAGTTTGAAGACAATCTATGGTACACAGAGACAGGTGGGGGAAGAGGGAAGGAGGGAGGGAGGGAGGGAAAAGAGATAAGAAATTGTCCAAATTTCCCACCTCCTACCAACCAAAGGAAACGGAATACAGATAAACCCTCAAAATTACATGAATCAGATACAATTGCTTTTCCACCCCACCATGCAATACCTCTCTTGAAGTGCAGCAAAAGGAAGCAGGACTTTAGATTTCTAAAGTAGATTTAGAAGTAAGTCAATGAATGTAAGAACTAAAGACAAAGAGAAGCTGAAAATGTTTAGGTCTAGGAGGTTTGCTGCTGGCCAGTGTTCCCACTGCTAAGAGAGAGGCTCAGGGGTGAAGGGGAGCCATCTCTCGGTCCCAATATTTGCTGCTGCTGCTGCTGCTGCTGCTGCTGCTGCTGCTGCTGCTGCTGCTATAAAAAGTCATGCTTGTTCTGAAGCAGGGCAACCCGACCCAGCATGCAACAGGGAGCTGCCCCCAACACAGGGTTGTTTCCAGAGACACCTCACTTCAAGTTCCACAAACCGATGAAGTGTTCAAGCCATCAGAACGCTGCAATGGAAGGAGGAGAATATGTGCAAAGCACTTCAGCCTGAGATGCGTCTGTTCCACCACCACCCCCACCCCCCCACCCACCCCCCCGGCACAGGACTGGCCAAGGAGAGTGTAGCTGTGATATGATTCCGTGCCAAGAGGGAGAGAATGAACAGAGATGATCTCTAACCTTAGTGTCCTGAGCTTAATAAAGTGAAACCTTTCTTAATAGTTTGCAGAATTACATATCCCCATTTTTGCATTTAAAAAAAATAAAGGGATGTAAGGAAAATTGGTTTAGATTTGTACTTTTCCTTCAGAGGAACTGGAAGAGCCCAAGCATCATGTGATTTGATGACAACAATCCAAGGTTTCAAGAGCCAGGTGGTGGTGGAGCACACCTTTAATCCCAGTACTTGAGAGGCAGAGGCAGGCAGATCTCTGTGAGCTTGAAGCCAGCCTGGTCTACAAAACAAATTGAGTTCCAGGACAGCCAGAGCTACCCAGTGAAACTCTATATCAAAAAAAAAAAAAAAAAAAAAAAAAAAAAAAAAAAACGGAAAAGAAAGAAAAAAATAATCCAAAGCATCTAGAGTTCACTAGAACCTGGACGTTTTTATGGCTATTTATGCTCCCACCTGGGCCAACAGACACTTATCCCAGTGTTTTCCCTGTGGTTGCTATTCAAAACTTGTGTCACTGTAGAGGGAAGAAGAAATCACATATATTCTTAATGTATGTGCATGACCCTTGAATGAAATGATGAATAGCAGTGGGAATAGAGTCTGCAAACATAGTGAGAAAATAAATTAATTCATCCCCCAGTTCTTCAGTGCACAGCAGTCTACTCCAACAGTTCCAAATGGCCAACTGAAGCAATGAGGTATAAAGGAGAGTATTCCCGGTGGACTCATCTAGTGTCTTCATGCAGAACCAGGAGATGAGATGTACTCCAAACATTCTGCTCAGAGGTCAATATATGGGAGGACCCCTCCATTAGACACCGTGTCCTCTGGGCAGTGGGAGATGAGGCTCAGAGGACACTTCCAGGGAGTTCCACATTGTTAAGTCATCCTGACAGAGATTCTGATGTAGTCAGAATCATATCAATCAGTGTACATCATCATAGAGTTCAAGGCAAAAGGAGCTAAGGGATCATCATCATCTTCCTCATGATCCTTTTTATAGGCGTGTGTGATCTTCTAGGGAATTTCTATTTCTGTCTCTTGCTGGAAGCCTCTCAGCTGGTTCAGTGTTTTTCTCAAGTCCTGAGTTGCAATGTTCCCTTGCAAGGGAATAATCATTTCTTTTTAAATCTACAAAGAAAACAAGAGAGTTTTAGTAGATGGCTTAGACTACATTGAATCTCGCAGATGGACTGAAGTTCAGGCTTAGTCAAAGTGTTCAGAGAGTCTCTGGCATACTGATTCCAAACACTCAACCATATCTAAACTCAGACCCTCTCCCATCCCAATGACTACATGAAATTCTAACTATGTATGCTGTCACTGTGTAAAGCACTGGCCACCCCCTATTGGGGTGAGACACATCTGGCCAAAGTTAAATGAGGTCCAGCAAGACATGGAAACCTTAGGAAGGATCAGAGGAATGGATCAAAATGGTGACTTTACATTCCAAGACTCAGCTTTCTACAAGAAAGCTGCCCACAGCTCTGAGGCCACCTATAAAAGCTTCATCAACCAAAGATCACATCAGACGTTTCCTAAGCCCTTTCTCTTCCATTTCAAAAGGAAATTTAAGGAAAACAGTAAACAGAGTAGTCTTTGAGAGGAAACTATAGGGAAGGGGGCATTAAATGTTGCATACATCTATCTTTTTGTGCTGTGATTCATGAGTGGATTCTAGCCTGCAATTGTGGGATGGTTCAGAAATTCATCAGCTCCTGCCTCCCTCACTCAGAGTTGTGATGTGCCTCAGCCCAGACCGAACCCCTCCCTGTGTTCCTGATGACCAACCCAGAAGATATAGTGCTGTACATCGATTTCTTTGCCCATCCACTGTGAACTCATGTCATGGGCAGTTATGAGAGTGTAGCCTTCCTCTTCACTCCATTGATTAGTTAGCTCAAGGACTGGGAGGTGTGTGTGATGGCTTTAGGGAACCAAGATTGTCACTCAGAGGTAGACTCTGAAGACAGTATGTGTGAAGCCCTGGGCTCAATCTCTGTTACCAAGTGGGAAAACTCATATTTCTTATTTTACTTTTTAATGTTAAATGGTAATTTTTCCAGACAAAAAAAACTGACACATATGTATATACATGTAATATATATTCAATAATATAACCAACATTTATTGAGCATATACATAAAATAAATCTTTATACCAACTTGGTGAGACAGGTACAATTATCTCTTGCTTGCAGATGAAGTTGTTGAAGGCCAAAGCCTTACAGCCAGTAGAAAGCAGAACTGGGGTACATGAGCCCTGCCTGCCTGGGTCTAGATTCCAGGTTCTTATGCACTGTCTTAATCTGCCCCTGCCTTAAAAATAAATGAAATGTAAAAACTAAACAGTATTTCTCACTCTGTTCCCCAAACCAAACATTTTTATTCAATTACCAATGATATGAGATGATAGTATTTCTTTATTTACACTTCAATATTAATTTTTAAAACTAGGGTTTCAGACACACAGAAAGAGGGGAGAGAATCTGAATGAGCACTCTAGAAATTCTTGCAGTTTGTAAATTTAAATATTATTTAAAAATAAAGAAGATAAAAATTTTGAGTGAGTGGGTCAGGATGAGAGAATATTAAAAGGAACAAACTTACTTTTAGCTAAAAGAGAAACAAAAACTGGGTGGTGAGATGACCTCAGCAGATAAAGGCGCTTGCTGCCAAGCCTCATGACCAGAGTTCAATCCCCAGGACCCACATGGTAGAGGGGAAAAAAATAAACAACTGGCTTCCAGCCTACAGCCTACCATGGCATGCCTCCATGCACACATGAACCCTTAATCATACTCAACAACTAGCTGGGCCCAAAGACTGGAAGCTGTGAGTAATGGCTTGAGTCTCCTTGGCCCCTGGCTGATCAGATAGAGTCCTGGGTCTTCAAGAAAGGAAGCTGCCCTGTCCAGGATATAGTGAGTCGTACTGGGCAGAGTCCAGTGCCTAAGGATGATGATTCCTGAGTGGATTCCAGCCTGCAATTGTGGGATGATTCAGTTATTCATCAGTTCCTGCTTCCTTCACCTGACGTACCGCAGCCCAGCTCCAATCCCTCCCTGGGTTCCTGATAACCAGCCCAGGGAACCCAGCATTGTATATCAATCTCTTTGTCCATCTATTATGAGTTCACATCATGAGCAGTTCTGAGAACACAGCCTCCCTCTTTGCTGCTTTGACCTTGCCCTTCTACACCGTCATCTGCCGCTGCAGGTTGACATACTCTATCACCACTGATGGAGGAAAAAATTGGACATCTAATCCTAATCCCTTTCTTTGACTATGTCTGGCTTACAAAGCCCCCCTCAATTCCAACAGAATCAGAAATGGCCCATTTTTGTTATAGTTGTTTTTAGGTCCACCCCAGGTTACAGTGGAGGGTGCCCTTTTGCTGATTTCCAGCTCAGGGTATGACTTTTTGTTAAAGATATGGGGCCAAACTATATTGCCCAAGCTGACCATGAGCTCCTGGACTAAGGTGATCCTCCTGCCTCTGTAACATCTTAGGTCAGAGGTGTAGCCACAGTACCTCACGCAGGACTGCACCCTTGGATAAGCAGGAAGAGCTGCTAATCTTAAACTTCATGAAATCCCAGTGTAAGGACACCCTTGCTATGACCCAGGAAATAAGAGCTAAGCAGGTTAAGGAAGACAGTAAGCTCCCTTTCTGAAAAGGCCAAATAGACCCCAAGCAGAGTCAAGATTCCAGACTGGAAGGCAGAGGTCTTCAGCCATTTGCTTCATGCCAAGGATACGGGTTTTGTGCCTAATGTACTAGACTCAGAGAAAATAAGCCATATTCCTAAGTCAGATGGTTCTGGGGTGGTTTTGATTTTTGTTTGTTTTCCTCTGTTTTGTCTTTTTATTTTTCGAGACAGGGTTCCTCTGTGTAGCCCTGGATGTCCTGGAACTCCCTTTGTAGACCAGGCTGACCTCAAACTCACAGAGACCTACCCACTTCTGCCTCCTGAGTGCTGGGATGAAAGGCAATATACCGCCATCGCCCAGTTAATGGTTCTGTTTTTCAAATGTTGCTTAAAGATGCAGTACTAGTGCTTATAGTGGTAGGACTTGGGACTAGTGTGATGTCTAAGCTGGTAAAAGGTGGCTCCCCACAAGCCTGGTGACCAGAACTTGATCCTCAGAATTCATCCATTGGAAGAAAAGTACCACATACCCACAAGTTGTCTTCTGACTTTTGTGCAAGCACAGTGGTGCTCGAGTGCGCGCGCGCGCGCGCGCGCGCGCGCGCGCACACACACACACACACACACACACACACTGCAGTGAAAATTTAAAGTGATGGGTGTGGGGGCTGGGAGTGCAGCTCAGTGGTAGAGTGCTGGCCTGGCTTGACAGGGTCCTGGATTCTAAGCCCGCTGCCGTAAAACAAACAAACAAATGAGTGAATAGAGGGGCAGTTGTTCCTGGATAAAGAAGTGCTTTGATTGACAGCCTTTCTTTTCCTCTGGGCCACACCCTCTCCGGTGCCCAATGAGCAAACTGGAACAGAATAAAAATGCTACAGGCATGCGGTCTGCGAGCAAACAGGACCTTGGAAGGGAGGAATGGGGCCTTCCACCCCGTTTTACTCCCTTTAAGTAGGTGGAACTTTTTTCATGGGGTGACTATGACAAGCACCGGGCCCAGGGTTGTTTTATCACATTTTGGCAGAACCTCAAGCAAATCCCTGTCCTTTAAATCCCTCCTAAGACTTGAAATTTTTCAGTCAGAAAGTCAAGTTTGTGAATGGCTGCGAAGGAGATAAAAATGTGGTTAAGATTTTCGCTCGATCCCGAGTTATAATAACTTATTCCCTGAGAGTCTCTCCGAAGAAGCAGAGTCTCCTAGGCTTACCCGGCAGCCTGAGCCTCCCGCAGCAGGAGTTGCAACGATGTTTTGCAATGAAGTTTCTAATTGCATCTTCCCCTAAATTGGCCGGTCCAAACACCATCCCTCTTGATCTAGAGGAAATATCAGAATATCAATTAGATCACAGCTGAGGAAAAGGAGTCCAACCAGGATTCTCTGAGATTGCGAACAGTATCCCATAGTAACCTAGCCACTTAAAGGAGCCAACCAAGAACAGAGCACTTTGGGGGAAGGAACAATGTTAGGTTTGCAAATTTAAAATTCAAATGCACTTAAATCTTTGTACCCAACTCCAAGACCTACTGTGAAACTCATTCCAACACTAATCTGATAGAAGAGTGAATTTTCGATGTGCTACATTAAAACAAAATACAGTGAAACCCTTTTTAATGCATATGGGGTGAGAGAATGACATTCATTACCACATGCTCTACTAAAACACCCCAAAGGTAAAGGAGAGAGGAACTTTGCTATGGAACGCACCTTCTAAAAAGATGTGCACCCAAATACGTTTCAGAAAACGACTCTCCCCACACCACACACCTCCTGGCTTTTTGAAAGCCACTTTCAACTCGGCAAACTGTTTTAACTGGGCTCTTCATGGAAAGTCAAGACAAGTGTTAACCAAAAAGTTTGTGGAAATAGACCACAGATGCCCAGAGTAGGACAGAATTAATCACAAGCAGTGTCAGTATCTCTGAGACATGTTTTGAACATTCTAATATAAAGATCCTCTGCAGATTCTAGGCTTGCTGTTCACACAACCATTATTCTGTAGATTTTGACCCTCTGCACAACACAGGACAGAGCACACTAGGAACGCCTCCAAAGAAAATGTATGAAAGCTAATATTTTATTTTAATGACATGCACAGTGGAAACAGCAGATTTTAAAATCTGAACTCAATTACCGCTCTTAAATACCACGTCTTAAGAAGGGAAAAAAAGCACAGCAGACTATCACAAAGGGAAACAATAAACTTTGCTTCTGAGGAATGTGGTTTTTCAAAAGGGACATGGTGTAAAATGGGCTTTTTTTTCCATCCGAGGATTGAAACATTTATCTCAATTTCCACTTCCTTTTGGCAGAAGAACAGTGGCTCTCTGAAGATGTGCCAAGCTCAGAATGAGGGCTGATGTCAATTTGATCTCAGATTGCCTCCTGCTCTGTGCCGGGTAGGTGGAGAAAACCTCTTGGGAAGACAAAGTGGAAAGACACTGGGGATTAACTTTCCTGGTCACTCAATCGCTCTCACAAAGCACAGCTCTGGTGGTATTTACCCGGCAGCATAAGCCACCTCTTGTTAACTCTGCCTGGATTTCACTTCAGCTGGTGAGACATTACTTCAGTCAGGTGAAACTGAAGGTGGAAAAAACAAAACAAAACAAAAACAACAACAAAAAACCTACAAACAACAACAAAAAAAATAAATAAAATAAAATAAAAAAACCACAGCAAAATCACTCGGTATTTAGACCAGAGCTCTCTGATCTGATACAGTGAGAGATGATGGTATTTGTTCAGTCATTAGCATGGAAGATATCCTTTGGAGTCTCTGTGACCTCATTGGAAAATTTCACTCGTTTGCATCCCATACCAGCCATTTCTGTCCCCCCAGGAAGGTACGAAGACACCCAACTAAGATCCAATATTTTCAATATCTAGAATATAATATCTGGAGGCTATTTGTCTCTGAGAGCTTCATGAAAATTAAAATGAGATAATCAAAATCACTACAAAAATTATATATCAGGGACACGAGGACTCCCACAGCAGAGAGAGTGAAGGAGTTACAGGGACATTCCATTTGCATGTACACTCCACAGCATGCTCCAAGCATTGCAGTCTCAGATAACTAAGTTTTCAAAGAAAACACAACTAGCTGTTTTCCAGATTTTTTTTACAACACAGGAAAAGCAGGTGGTAGCTTGGTTCTACATACAAGGAAACGCTAATTAGTGCCATCTATACATAGTCACTAAAGAACATCTCATCACCATTTCATACTTGTCAAATGCTCAAAACCATCAGGCAGTAGGCTAAAAAGATACAGTCCCAAACTACCAATAAATGAGGCACATTAGGGAGAGTTGGAGACAGTGGGATGCAGCATGAGAAAGGATATTAGAATTATTCAACAAAGCCAACATCCCTTTTCAAAAGAACTGTTCCCTTCCACTGACGTTTCACCTTACAGGGAAGTTGGAACTTTGAGTGAGCCTTGGTTTCCTCACTTGTGAGCTGGGGTTAAATAAACACACAGAGTCGTTGCATGCATGACCTCAGTAGTTTAAATCTGTGCACCTCAGACTTGAATTTGTACCAATTCACCAGAATATTTTATAAAATGCAGATTCTGGTTCCTCAGGTACAAAGAAGCCAGGAGCCTATTCATTTCCAGCAATGTCCCTGATGGTGATCTTGACCTATGCTTCACACTTTGTTTAACAGATTTTACACTCATGAGATTCATTGATTAATTAGATACAGTTCTAATGAAACTAATCTGTTGAGAGAAAATAAAACTTAAGGTCACTGTGAAAACCAAGTACACAGAATTGGGTATTTCCACAATGAAACCATTCTACCCATTTCAGGAGACACTGACCTCAAGTTATGGAAAACAAAGTTGCTGTAATAATTTCACAGAATTGCATTGAGGAACTTAAAAAAATACAAGAGAGAGTACTGGAAGAGACAACAGGAACTGGGGGACATTTGGGGGACAATGTGGGAAACCTAGTGCATAATGAAATCTTCAAGATTGACCCTATCGAAGACTCCTAGTAATGGGGGATATGGAGGCTCAACCAGCCATATTTTATAACCAGGCAAGGTTTCCAGCAGCAGGACTGGGACCTCAACCCAGCCATAAAACCTTCAACAATCTGCCCTGCCTCCAAGATGTGCTGGGCTAAGAGTGGACCAACCAATGAATGACTGGTCCAACTTGAGGTCCACACCAATAGAGGGAGTCCATATCTGACACTGCCTAGGTGCCCAAGAACCAGAGGCTGGATGGCCCAGGGATACAGGATGTAACCAAACAGAACTGGGGAAAAAATTACAATGAAATGATTACTAATGATATTCTGCTACACTCATAGATCGGTGGTTAGTCCAATTGTCATCAGAGAGGCAACTGATGGGAACAGACGCAGAGACCCACAGCCAAACACTAGGCAGAGCCAGGGGAACACTGCATTAGTAGGTGGGGGATGCAGGAACCAGAGGGGTTGAGTACACTATAAGAACACGGCCCATAGAATCAACTAAGCCCGGCTCCTAGGGGATCACAGAGACTGAAGCAACAATCATAGACCCTGTATGGGTCTGAGCTAAGCTTTCTGCATGTGTTATGATTGTGTGGCTGGGTGTTCTTGTGGGACACCTAACAGTGAGAATTGGGGTATCTCTGACTCTTTTTCCTGCTCTTGTGACCCTTTTCCTCCTACTGGGTTGCCTTATCCAGCCTTGATATGAGGGTTTGTGCCCAGTTTTATTGTAACTCACTATGCTGTATTCAACTGATATTACCTTTTTAAGAGAAACGTAGGAGGAGTGGATCTGGGGGAGCGGGAGGTGTGAGAGAGGACTTGGAAGAGTGGAGGGAGGGGAAACTGCAGTCAGGTTATAATGTATGAGAGAAAAATGAAAGAAAAAATACAGAGGTCAGGGCACCATTCAGACATTGCGATAGAATACCAAGTATGCTTTTTTTTTCTAATTCCCCAGGTGACCTTAATAGAAATTGAAATCCACTTCCTATAGAATGCAATTAAATACCTAACTGTCAAGCAGGATAATATAATCTTAGATTCTAAACAGATGGAGTATTCAGGTCATATTAAGTGATATATGCCAAGGTCAAAATTTAAGGAATGATAGGCAGAGTACACATAAATTGAGTTCATTATCTATGCAAAAAGTCTGAAAAAAACTGTAAAGAAAGTTCTCATATAAAAACATTTCCCAATACAAGCCCTTGAGCACACAAGAATGCTGAAGAAATAATATGCTTGGCTGAAAACACTTGAGCTCTGCTAAAATAAAAAATAAAATAGTCCATTATACCCTCAAGTCCAACATGGACTCTATTATCAAATAAATATCGTAGGAAGTGGATGCTACATAGAAGCCGTATGGATCATCTGTATCTTCCTTAGCCCACCTGAGGCAATAATAGCTAATATATTTTTAGTAGAAGAGCATCTTCTCAGGGGATTTTGCAGATGGGCCATATTCACATTTAGTAAAAATCACCCAGTGGAAGAATGGTGTGATAAAACAGTGATTATTTAATGAGAATCAGGAGAAGGAAAAGCAAAACTTTTACATTTTACTGCGTCAGGAATCTCAACTTATTGAGTCCTACATGTTTTCTATGACCTGGCGACCAAGTAGAGGCCCTCAGTCTGACTAAAAAGTAAAAAGTAAAAAAATGTTAACCCAGCATGGGTTATTTAATATCAGCACAAAGGAGGCAGAGGCTCGAGGACCCAGAGTTCAAGGCCACCATGAGTTATACAACAACGAGATGTCATCACTATTAAAGAAGAAATTCTTTAAGAATTAAAAGTGTTGTTTGACCCACGCTTCTCAAAATGCCGATAGCCCTGTGGCGTCAGCCTCTCAGGCAATGTGTTAGAAATGCAGATCATTTGGTTCCATCTCAAAACAACAAGATCAGAAACTCTGGAGGTGAGACACACAATCTATTTTAACAAGCTCTTCTGGTAACAATGATGGCAGCTCACGCTTAAGCATTATTGTCCTCCATATTGATGACAGCATCACCAGCCAATCACCACCATCACCTCTTTGCATTCTACTTTAACAGAACACCTAAGAGCCTTAACGCCAAAAACCACAAGATGTCCTGGCAATTCAAAAGATGGGTAAAAGACTCATCCCTCTATGTAACTTGGCTCCGATTTAAGTTAGACAATCTGAGGATGCCTCGGATTTAAGCACTGTGGCTTTGATCCCTCACCAGGTGGCTGTTTATAGAAAACAGTACTTTGTGTTCTCTGCTCTTACTTAGTCTGCCTGTGAAGAGACTGCCTGGATTCAAGGCCACCATTCCACAGGGAAGACAACAAAGGAAGGATGCCTCTGCTACAGCATCCTTTATTACATCAAACAAAACTTATACATTTCCCCTTACATTTAGACCAGTAGAAAACGCAAGAGTCAAATTTGCAGCTGAAGTCTGGAAATTGCACTGTCCCTTGCAATGTCTGCTCGTGCTTACTAACCCAGGTCTACAATTCACCTTATTTCATTCTCATTCTTTCCTTTTACTTGTTTCCTATTTTGAAGTGGCTTAGAAAATCTTGTTTTAAGTATAAGAATCTCAATTTAAATCTAAAAATATTGTTTTGTATCTATGTGCAGTAATTGTTGGAAAACTTCTCCAGGATCTAAAAGACACGTATGTGTTTTAAATTCCTCCAAGAAACTAAGACAGACCTCTGCGCACAATGTCCTGGTCATTTCCACTGTCTTATTTTGGTTTTGAAAAAAATTAAAAAGTCCTGGGGGTCAGTGGTGAATGGCAGTGGGTGCTCTTCAGAGGACTCAGGGTTCAATTCCCAGCACCCGCATGATAACTCACAACTACTTATATCCAGTTCCAGAGAATCCAAGGCCCTCTCCTTGCCTCTGTGGAAACCAGGCACTCACATGAAGCATAACCGTGTATGTGGACAAAACACCCTTAGATATAATTATAAATCAATTTTTATGTTATGAAAAATAACCATTAAAACATTACATGATACACATTAATATGTAATTTTTATGTTTTTACGTGACGGTTAAAAATAATGTCAAAAACATGAACAAATTGAATACAATCTTCTAAATTATAACATGTAAGTCAACTCACTGTTTGTCTTCAGGTTTTATAACAGACGGATCTGTCAAATTTTCTCCAACACCTCCAAAGAAGAAACAAAATTCGTTAAGCAAATGACGATTCATTTTCTAGGAAATGCATAAAAATAATAACCAAATTCTACTTCCTTATTTTGAAGGTTACATTCAAGCCAGATGTAGTAACTCACCCCTGTAATCTCAACACTAGAAAGGCTAAGGCAGAAAGATTGCCACCAGTTCAAGGCGAGTCTGAGCTATATAGTGAATTCTGGGCCAGCCTGATCTACAGTGTGAGACCCTGTGTCTTCACTCCATAGTAGGTAAGTTTAAAAAAGTTAAAAAAAAAAAACATGCTAATTAAATGTGCTATTGAAATCGTTCAGCAAAGTTAGGAAAATGATTGAATACAGTGTCTCCTACAACAGCACCCTCTGAATTAATGAACATCTGGCCACAAATTAGTGTGTCAATGACGTCATAAGACTTGCTGGTAGTGGCATCTATCAGGAGATCTATGTATCCGCCATTCATTTACCGGTTGTATGCACTAAGGCATCTAATTTTATTTTCTCTAGTTCTCATGAAAGGAAAATATTATCCTCATATCCTCAATTTACATCTTATCCTCATTTACATCAATGAGTACATTGATGTTCAAAGAGATCGAGGAACTTGCCAAAGATGGCTTATCCCTTAAGTGGCCATAACAGGATTAAAGCTGGGGCAATGCTTGTGTTCCTCCCACTAGTCCATGGTCTCCTTAGATGGCTTCCATCAGCGCTCAGCAAGGGCAAGGCCCTGGGAGGTTTTGCAGATACAGCCGCTGTGCATCAAAGAGACACATCAAATGCTCTATCTATATACAGCACTTATAAACAGTAGAATAAAACGACACCAAATTCTTGATCTGAGAGTTGCCTCCACCTGTGTGTCCAGTTAAGGAAATTCTTTGAGGTGTATGCTTATGCTCTGTTCACTCTTTGGAATGTGTCTTCAATAAAATTTAGTTTTGAAAGAAAAAGAGCAAAGCCTACGAAGATAACAGAGGTGTACTTTAAGGCTGCACTTAATCAGAACTGGGTTTAATACACAAAGTAAACCTCCGGGATAACATGCAGCCAGTGAGGAGGTTCGTATCCAATAGTGACAACCGTTCAGGGAAGCCAGTTACAGTGATGAGCCACCTCAGCACACCCAACAACTTCTGAGATCACCCTTAATCAGGGCTTTTTTTTTTTTTCTCTCTGCTTGAAAAACACCAGCTTTGTAGGGTGAGGAATCGAAACAGTTATACGAGTTTTAGAATGTTACGTATTGCCACTTGTTGAAAAAGTTCATGTTTTGTTAAAGCGGAAACTTTCAAAAGACCCCACCCCTAGACAAAGACCTACAGAAAACTAAGGACTGCTGAGAGAGAGAAAGAGAGCACATTAGACTTCTCCGGGGATGAGCGCCCACATCAGTTTACTAATTCCAAGTGGTTAGTTTTGCAGACAAGCAAAACTAAATGGACTCTGTAGATCATATTTATGTTTATAAAATATATATGTAATATATATTCAAATATATTACAATATATATATATTCAAAGGAAAAAGTGACTATGAATTCGGGGGGGGGGACTTGGGGAGGTACATGGGAAGAGTTGGAGGGAGAGGTCACAGGAGAGGTTGGAGGGAGGAAAAGAAAAGGAAGAAACAATGCAGTTATATTTTAATTAAACTAAAATTTTTTAAAAATAAAAGACAAAGGTCTGTGTTTTTAAGCAGCATTTTTTAAAGATTTCTGCTGTTGTCTCTCTCTCTTGAAATAGTAAACCTTTCAGGAACCTGTAATCCTTACAAAGTTTTCTGCTAAGAAACTGATTTCCTCAGGAAAATAGCGTAGAGCCACCTGGACACTAGAGTAGGAGTGTTCACCCTTTGGGGAGGGGACTGTTTCATGACTCCGTCAGCCTGGTGAAGCTAAGGGGCCCTTTTCTCAAAATGTTTTAACATGTATGATTTAAATATGTAACAAAGGAAATCTATGGTCCTGAAAAGGATTATCAAAACATTTTAACTGCTGTATTACAAAACATACACGTGCTTCTTTATTAGGACATTCAAGAACAGGATCTACCCCGGGCCTGTTATCCACAAACATATCTAACAAGCGATGACGACAAACAGTGTTTTGAAATCTGCCTGCATTGCAAAGTGCTGTGCTAATATCTGAAGTTTCTCTTGCTGATAGTCATATGGGTGATGACGTCACTGTGGGTTGTGGTCTGGTTAATAATGGAAGATCGCAAATTCTAGTAATGGGTCAGTGGCAATAAGGTAGAACTTAGTTTCTCATCAGAGTTTACAAACTCTCTGAGTCTACCCTTCAACAACCCCGAGCCTGGCAAGTTTTCACAGATTTTGAATAGGGAAAGAAAGAGTTGGGCTGAAACACAAACACATGGGAAGTGTGGAAAAAACCTTGCTGAGCCCTCACATTTTCAAAGCCACAGGAAGGAGCTCTTTGTACTTTTCTTGTCACATAGACAAGAAGGGGCAGCTGAGGGAGCCCCTGCTTCTCTACAACTGTGGAGTGAGGAAACAGAACAGCAGGCAGAAGTGTATCCCAGCACCCTGGGGAGACAGGCTGATGGCTGCAGTCCTCACCATTTTAATTAAGCATGGACTGAACTGGAAGCCTGGAGCCTACAGCAATGACTAAAGTTTTAGGCCCCTGTCTAAGTAAAGTGCAAATTTAAGCCAGGACTATATACTGTAGCTGAGGAAACACTATTAGTTGGGGGTAGGGGGAAGTCTTTACAAGGTTAAAAAAAAGTTTGTCTAAATCTCATCAGAAAACCTTTAAACTTTATGACTTGTTAGACACACAGAAATCATAGGAGACGGAGGCTCCACCCCAAGCCCTGCCATGTTCTGACTGTGAGGCCTGGGTACCCTGCTTAATCTCCCTGAAGCCCAATTTTGTCATCGGAGAGTGCAGCATCCCCGGCCTTATCAGAGAGGGGGAGGGGAGAATTCAATGAGTTATGCCTGACCCATAAGAGCTTTCGATGTCGGCCGTTACTCTATTTTCTTTATTCCATCTAGAACCTCTCATGAAGTAAAATATTATCTTCTTACCAGCAGTGAAGTCATGTCTTCTCATTCCCCAAAAGTATATTTCCTAATACTTATAGAACACCTTACAAAGAGGGGATCAAAGAGTATACACTAACCCACTTTTGTATGTGAAAGTATAACTCCATGTTTTGTATGTTAAAACTTAACTTAAATACACATTTTTGGGTGTTCTAATGGAAAAAGGGCTTTATGATCTGTGAATGGAGAGAGAAGTCCCCAAAGGCCAACCATTCAATGCCTTCCACATCACTTAGCTAGGCTAAGTCACCAGGCTCTTCTAGCCACACAAGAATACCCAACTCAGTCCATCTGGTCTCAAACTCTTCTGATATTTGGAGAAATATAGAACAAGTAAGCTGACTTTATATCTAAACATCCTGATGATTTCTCTTTACTGACACCATTATTAGTAAATATACCCAGAGAAAGTCTAGAAAAGTCCATGGAACTTCATCCAACCTGGCATCGCCAATGGCCTTCTATTCCATCTATGCAAACAGGGTGCCTCTTTGTAGTGACATCATTCATGGTGACGTGGGTGCTAACTTTTTCTAGAAATTGCTCTATTGAACAAAAAAAACAGTGCTATATATCCAAAAGTCCATTGAAAAAATAGAATAAGAAAAAAACTAAACATTACTCTAATTTGAAATACAATTGTTTTTAATTTCCATTGCTGGGAATTAACTGTTGGACTTCAAGTGTAATGATGATGATTCAGGCCCTCCCATGTAAGATTTTTAAGTGGAAAAAGACCAGAAAACTTCATTATAGTTATAAATGATGGGAAATTGGTCATGCCTCTCCTCAGAGTTCAGCTTCCTGGAATGCTATGGCCGCTTCCAGGTTAACAAGTGGCACCTTCTTGGAAGAATGAAAGAAGAAAAAAAGGAAACAGAAAAAAAATCAACGACCCAAATATTTCTTCAACCTTCCTTCTCTCAGAGCAGTAATGAGTAGAGTCTGAAATAGACAGGGGTCTCCCTGTGGTATCCCTGGGGCCACACAGCTAAGGATAGCTTCCCCATACCTGATGACTAAATTCCACTTTAAAGAACCAATCAATGATTACTACTGACAACAACAGGTAACATTCATCCAGGGCTTGATACATGCAGAGAACTTGCCTCACTTGAGCGCCTTAATAATTTAATAACCGGATGACTTAAGGCATAGTATTTTTCCCATAACAACTGAGGGAGGTGGGACTCAAGGTGGTTGCTCCTCAAGGCATACAGCTAGTTCACAGTGGAGCCTGGCAGAATACATCATCTTCCCAGACACTAGAAATGCTAGTAAACAAAGGACATCATAAAATTGAAAAAAAAAAATCTTAGAAACACAACTTTCCTTTCCAACCTTGTTTAGAGTTAACTAGCAATAACATTATAACTGTATAATTACTGTTATAGACTCACGTTTTTCCACAAATTCAGCCCAACAATTATCTAGCTCTCTGATAAGTTTCATGCATTTCATGATACCTATTCTGTGGTTCTGTGATGTCTACTCAGACCTTCTTTGAAGGTCAATGTTTTGACATAGTTGACTTGCAGTGGCCTATTTCAGCAATTCACATAATTACTCGGGAAAAGAATAAAGTTAATTCCCTTTTCCCTCCAAGACTATAATCGCAGCATTTGCTCTGTTTAATGTCACTCTGGATTACTAAGAGACATAAAAATCCCCAAACATAAACATCATTGAATAAAACCCTCTTCAAGTGAAATACAAAACACACTGAAGAGTCATCATTAATTCCTTAAAGTTTTTCTTTGGTTGTTTGTTGTTGTTGTTTCTGTTTTTGCTTTTCAAGCAACTCCACCCAACATTCAAAGCAAAAACACAAACAGTGGAGCACAGATGAAACCAATCAAGGTCTCTGCAAGCAGAACTACAAAACAGATGCCTTTGGCACCCCAGCTCTGGGCGTGTAGTCATCAAGTGCTTGCTGGTATAAAAAGCTGAATTGTTTGGGACACGTTAATTCAGTTTATATTCCTTCCTGAAAAATTGGTTTTGAATTTTAGAAACATAATCCAGCCTTGAGGACACCAGGAGTATCAAAAGGCAGACGTATTTAGTAATATGTGCACTGTTTTAAGTGTAGATGGATCACTGAGCATGTGACCCAGATTTCAAAGTGACTTTGCATAGTCCTGGACATTGCTCCTGATGCCCTACAGGGGTTGATTTCAGCATTCCCTAGGCTCCAAACCTGGTTTTGCCAAGAACTGCCAAGGTAGGAAAATCAGAAAGGAAAAGAAGACAGTTCAGGTTGTTGAAATATATCCTAAGATAGTCATTCCCTCTCAGAATGACTCTCTTAAGAAATGCAGGGCAGAGAGGAGAAAAAGATGTGTAGGGTCACACCAGCTTAAGTCTATATCTTGCTTCCCCTTTAAGAGCTGTGCAACCTGAGCCAAGTTATTTAAACCTTCTGGTCCTGAATCCCCAATAATATATGCTTCAAGGTGCTACTTCTGGTATTAAACGAGGAACTTTTATGACAGCTTCTAGGCCAGATCCCTTGTTTGAATCCAAAGCTCCAGTCTATGAGCCCAAGAACTAAACTTTGGCCATCACACATACTGTGTGCCCTCCTTAAGAGGAAAGCCTGCTGGAGACACACTGAATGTGCTGTGGGATGAACCATCCGGTAGGAACTGGTGATTGTGGGAGATACTCAGATCAAAGGCTTCCATTAAATTAGAGTATACTGCGGCCCTCTTTTGGAGCCAAGGACTTCCCTGAACTGCCATGTCAAGGAATATATCAAAGAAAGCAAACTAAATTATAAATTGCCAAGGGAATAAATTCAAAATAATGAAAAGTATCCAGAATTCAAGTTTCTCATGCATTTATATGTGTGTGTGTATATATAAAATCTTTCTGGTAAACATAAGACAAGGCAAAGTGGTAACATTAAAACAAGTGGTTAAAAAAAACATTCCCCATCTAGTTCAACATTTGAGATTTAAATAATTAACTTTCTGCCTATATTTCCCCCTCTATCTAAGTAGAAAACAGCAGAGCAGGTACTCACACTCATTATTGCATAATATCTCTGAATTAAATACCTATATCTCTCTACCAAACTAGGTAGAACAGCTCCATGTGCCCACCCTAATTCTTGTGAGATTTCTAGGAACTTTGCCTCCTGCATCTTCAATTAATTACCTTGCAAATCTAAAACCAGCAGCTCTCCCCGGGTATACTCATATGTCCAGTGAGAGAAAGCCAACATCAGCTCTTCCAGGGTATTGGTGGGGGCGATTTCGTCGCCATTGTTGTTATTGTATTTCCGGAACTCCCCTGTCATGTACTTCTCAATGGTTAACCATTGGTTAGCTGAATGGCAGTAGATCAAGAAAACCTCCAGAAACCTGTGAGGGAAAAAGAAGCCAATGATCCCCTACAAGACATCAAGCATGGCAGTTACCCTACAGAGAACTCAGCCACACAAGCCATCCACCCTTGGCCTTTCTATGGGAAGAAGGATCACCACAACTGGGAGGTTTGTTCCCAAGCTTACTCGCCCCAGTTTTCTTTGAGAAAACTTGCCAACTTTTTTACAAGTTCCGGATCCAACTTTTCATGCTGGGCTCTATAAAATTTCTTGTAAAATGGGGGAAAGGGCTTTATTCTAATTCCTCAACACCAAATTATGATCTGCCTTGATAAGTGAATACGAGCATAACAACATACTCAAGGGAAAATCATGAGGGTTCATGATTGCAAACTTCTTAATTGGTTTAGGAAGCTGGGCAAGCAACTAAGCTTTAAAGAGACATGTTTGGGGGCCATAATACCCCTGGGTATTAGCAGCTACACCCAGCATATGCCTGTTTCACCTAATTGAAATGTTGGTCATCAATCTGTCTATACTCTTTCCACTCACATAAGTTCAAGAACTTAAGCCAAGGTATGTCTGGAACATTTAATTATCTTTATACCAGTCCGTATAACTATGGAAGGAAGAACCCTGAAAAGGGTCATGGAGAACTTTCCCTTGGGTCTGGTATTTCTCATGTCTAATGGGCTGAGAAGAGGTTAAATGGAATTCTTCATATAGTGAAGAGTCACAGTGCCAGGCTTACTCACTTTGGTGTGTAGGGAATTGTTTGTGGTTTGACTTGGTTGAAGGTGTAGATGAGTTTTTGGGCAGCTCTTTGCTGTTGAATTTCCTAAAAAAAAAAAAAAAAAAAAAAAAAAAAGAAGAAGACTTGATTAATATTTTATATATATAGAGAGAGACCAAGTACGTGTGTGTGTGTGTGTGTGTGTGTGTGTGTGTGTGTGTGTGTGTGTGTGTGTGTGTGTTTAGGGACAAGCCTCCTGATAGGTTATCTAATCACAAGCAGTTAACCCTAAAAACCCTAAACACATATGTGTAGGATCAACATTAAATGGACTCAGCAGAGTGTGTGTGTGTGTGTGTGTGAGAGAGAGAGAGAGAGAGAGAGAGAGAGAGAGAGAGAGAGAGAGAGAGATCAATATAATTTATCCATAATAGTTATAGGAAAAGAGATAGTGAATTTGGGAGAGAATCAAGGGACACGGGAGGTGTTGAAGAGGAAGAAAGGGGTAGAAATGTTGTAAATACAGGACTCATGAAATTCTCAAAAAAAAATAATGGTTAACTAACATACACTTACTTATTAAAGATCAAACAGTTCCTAACTGCCCAACATGTAATATTATTTAGCTTCTAGTACTCTATACCCCCAAAGCAAACGTCCTACACAACAAAAATAATAAAAAACCACCACCACCTTCAAAAACTAACAAATTCTCTTTGGTTGAAGAAAAAATCTACCTTAGATAAGGATGTAGCCAGACCTCTACACTTTCATTTTGTCCATCTGGGCCCTAGATCTCTCAACTTCAGGCTTACCCTAAGGCAAAGATGAAGCACAGTGCTCTCCTGAAAGATTTTATACCATGTCTGTACAACCTCCGGGAGGAAGGACTTCACGATGAAAACCTGCCCGGGCTTGAGAACTTCATCCTCAGACCAGGTGCTGATGACTCGCATGGCTTTGCGGAGGCCCCCATCCATTTCCTCCTGCGACAGCACCTGGATCATGGCAGCTCTCCCATGCTGAGACCAAGAAGACATGCTCTTATCGAGAGTCAGAGGGGAACTCTCTTCAAGTTTGTAGATGGTCACTTCTTCTCCTGCTGCAATAAGAAGTAAAAGCCAGTTCAATAAGACAGCAGGTCTGGGGTGTGATTGGTGCCCTGAAGCTCAGCTCAGAATCAGTTCAGTTGTCCCTGTGATCAGAGGAGAACGCAACTAGCAGGGGCTAGAGCATGGTCAGGGCACAAATCAGCCTGACTTGTCCTCTGATGGAGGTGGGGAGCGAGGAGGAGGAACAAAACATCAAATGGCATATAGGAATTAAGTTGTACTTATTAGAAACTAATTAGACAAGAACAGTATTAAAACAGTATGAATATGTTGCCACTAGTAGACTTTTTATTGGGGACACGGTTTGCTTTGTAACTAAGGCTGACCTAGTAATAATTACATATCCCATATTAGCTCCAAATTTCTGATCCTCCTGCCTTAGCCCCCTGAGTGATGAGATTAAAGGCACATGCTAAGACACCAGGCTCAAGACAAATATATCTCTAGAGACAGTTTAACCTAGAGTTAGTCATTACCAGCCCCTAAGGAGCAAGCATTTTTATAACTGCCCTTCATATAATATTAAACATGCTGTGTGCTGTTTGTGAGCTATATGTGTATCTTTGCTTTATACATGAACAACATGATGGCTTTTGTTTTCTGGGTGGGGTTTCGCTTGTTTCCCTTGATCCACAAAGTGTGATTTTTATCTCACCAATAACACAGGGTTTCACCCAGTGGGAACCACTCAGTACTAAGGTCATATCCTGAGCCTCTACTGCTTTCTTTTGTGCCCATTAGCAAGTTACTGAAACCCTCTATGTCCTTATCAGTAAAAGGGAAAGATAACATCCGTTTCAGTGGTTTGTTATACAGATCATATATGTTATCAGGGCTGCAGCAAACTAGGATCTCAGAAACAGACTCAACCCCACTTAAAAGGACTTTAGACACAACACACTGCTCAATGCTGCACAGCTCCCACTTTGAGCTTCAAGAGCAGGAAGGAGTCATTGCTGGGCTCGGACTTCCCCAACACAGGGTTACAGCTGAGTAAGAGAAGGAACAAGCCACACAGAGTTTCCTTCCAGGTTGTGATTCTGTTCTCTTATACCTTTGCTTCAAATATTCCTTACTTGTTGTTGTTGTTGCTGCTGCTGCTGCTACTGTTGTTTGTTTGTTTGTGGGATTGTTCTCTGTGAACACTGTTTTAAGTTACCAGAAAGGAAGCCGTCTATTCCCTCACCCTTGTGTCTAATTCCTTATGAATAAATGTATCTGGAGAATGTGTGGTATATTCTCAAATGTTTATTCTTGATGTCCAAGTGAATGCCACTGAAGAGCTCTTTGGAGTCCTAATTCCTAGAGGCTTTAGAGAAGAGCTATTGATTTGCAAAATGAACCATGGAGCCAAGTGGAAGAAGGAGGCATCTGCATAAACAATCAGAAGCCAACCTGGTCTCTCCCCATTGGAACAGAGTGAGGAGGGTGAAGATGGAGGCCGGTGCAGGGACCTTTGTTATGCTGTCAACTGCCTGTGCTCCATCCCGCTAAGCAGAAACACTCGGAAACCCTTGGCTAACACAAACTTGTTTTTCTTTACTGCTCAAGCTTTTCAAAACTACATTTGCAGTCTGAAGAAAGAGCAATCCATGTACATGAAACAAAACAAACAAATATAAAACAACCAACAAAGGGTTTCTCTTCCCGCGCCTGTCAGCTTGCAGCATACTGACATGTAGCTCTTTCTTCTGTGTTCATTATATAAGGTTGGCTTGCTCTTTTCTTCCCTGTGCACGTCCAGCCTAGAATCGCTGCCTGCCAGGTGCAGCATCATGCTTGCTTCCCAACTGCTGACCCCTGTAGGTCCCATCCCCCTGGTATCAGCGCCTGACCCTCAATGCTGGCCGCAGTAGTGAACAAGAATGTCTACTTTGGGAAACGAATCTCCTTCATCTACCGCATGGTCAAAATGAAATTTGTGAGTCAAGTAAAGCAACATAGTGTTTTGTTTCTTGGTTTTTGTTTTTTGTTTTTTTTTTTTTTTTCTGTTGTATGCCAACATTCACTCTACCCTCGCCTGGCCTCAAGAAGGGGGAAATATTACTCACCGAACAGCTGGATTGGTGTAAATGGTATGGTCTGAGAAAGCCTCATTAAATTATTCCTTTCAATGGCTGCAAACAAAAACAGATTGACTACTTTAGGTCTGCATCCACAGTTAAACTTAGAGAAAGCCCCACATACCAAAATACACATAAATTTGAGACTATTTCATTTCAAACATATTTTTATTTTCTCCATTAGCAAAAATATTATAAATAATAGTTTTAAATATAAAATGTGCCTTAAACAGTAAAGATATCTTAGTCTTGAGAAACTTTTACATGAGATTATGTAACATGGCCTAAGAAGGGGCTATCTCCTCGCTCTCCCAAACAACAAATTAGACACTAACTCAAATAATATGTGAGTCTTTCTTTTAAACGGATTTTAATCTATGTTTCATATTCTCTGGTTTCCTTTTACCAAAGCAAACCCAGTGCGCAGTGGTCTGTGGGGACATCTACTGTTGGTTTTGCAGATTTGGCCTTCTTTTTCCCAGAGAGAATGAAACACTAATTTTAATTAGAAGCAAGTGATCTGCATTTTCCTGCCAAGAGCCATAGCCTAACAGATCAGAGTCTGTATGAGTTACAGTATTCCTCACCAGAGACTCTCTACAGCTGGCAGTTAGAGTCAAAATAATAGATTACTGCTGAGCTGTAGGACCCAGTCATAGGAGCCTAGAATGAGGAGGCTGAAATCCACAGAACCATTATTTACCACAGAGGAGAATTCAGGATAAGACCGTCTATTATGGGACCCTAAATAAATGACCTTCATAAAATAAGACTGGTAATTAAAGTGTCAGCAAGGTCTTGTTCACACCGAGTGCTAGACTCTGTAAAAGCCTTGTCCTTGAGTTATCTCACGCACTGAGAGCAGTGACCACCAAGGAACCACACCATGGCACAAGTCCAGCTGGTCTACGTTGCTTTGCATCTCAAAGTATTTGCCTCTTAATTCTCAACAAGCCCTTTGGCAGCCTGTCCCTCAGAAAGGGCAAGGACATTCGTTCCCACTCTGAAAGAAAGACAGCTGAAGTGCTGTGAAGCATTGCTTAATAACTGAATTGAGACCCTTGACATGTCTGTTTAACGGCATCTTTGCAAGGCATGTTTGTTGGCATTATTCTGTGAGGGGGTGGCATCTATTCAGTGGTTATGTTCACTGAGGGAACTTTCAAGTTCACTGAGGACTTTCAAGTCTGTCTTTTTCCAATCCAAAACATTAGGATCAGACTGGGGTGTAGTTTGGTGGTAGAACACTTGTCCAGCATGGCTCTGGGTTCAAGCCTCAGCATGGTAATAAAAAGGGAACAGTACAAAGGAAATTGTTCAAAACACTAAGATATTTGGATTTTGACTAGCACTAAGCATACAAGGAAATTTTAGAAACCAAAGGTATCTTCTCCTTCAAAATTTGAATTTACCAACACACACACACACACACACACACACACACACACACACACACACACACACACACTTTTTTATGTGAATTCTCTTAAACCCTGGCAATTTGTTTTTCTGAGTCAGTGCCATGGTTGGGAAATCTAATTATTCTAGCCATTAGAGTGAACAATTTTATGAATTGAAGCTGTATTGATAATGTGGAGTTGATGGATGTTCATGTTTACAAGTGCAGAATCATACACATTGAGCTCAGTTGACCCAGCTCTGCACACATGCTTCCTACCTGAATAATGGTGGTGAGACTCTTGAGGGCTTTTTAAGGAGGCTGAGATCTCTGAAATCATAGAAATGATTGGCATTTTAATTACTTGGCTGCAGATAAATACATGTTTGTACACTGCCTTCAAAGTTACTATTAAAGGCTTCATCAGAATAGCTTTTCACTATTCAGAAAAGCTTGCCCAATATCCTTTAACTCATTATTGTGCATGGTATCCTGACAGCTTCCAATCATCAGTGTAATATCTCCAAGCATATTTATATAGGGAATTGAAGAAAGACAGGTAATATTAGCCTCAAAGATGTATTTCCTCTGAACCAATTACACCTCTGGGTTACAGAAGGCACACAGCTGCCCATCATGACATCCCAGGAGCATGATCCTCTGAGCTCCTTGCCAAGATGCACCTATCCATGCAAAGACAATATTAATGCCAACTTATTAGCATACTATCTCACTTACTGAAACTAATGACAGAACATTAAGTATATGTCAGACACATAGGAGGGGGTGGCTAGTATCACAGCATGGGATTTGCTAAACTATACCAGGACCCTGTGTTGGGAACACCACCTCCCATGTTAACTCTCATTTTTCTGTCTGTTCCAGACCTAAATCATAAGGCTCCAGAGGTTTCCTTTGAAACGATTTTGCTGTTTCATGAAAATCAAAATTAAAGTGGAGAAACTTCAGTCTCATGGCAGCAACTACTTCACACCTACTAGAGAGTAAACAGCCAAGTGAGCCCAGGTTTATGGAGCACTCTGGCTCTTACTACCAGATAAAGAAGGGAGCAAGCATCCTTTGAGGTGGCATGCTGAGAGCTATGGTCAGCAGAAAAGGCTTCCATTTCTAAATTCAGTCAGTAATATAGACTTTCAGCTCCAACTATGGGTCACGCTAGGCATGAGAAGTGAAGAAGACATGTTGCTCACCCTTCAGAAAAGTAAATGCATTGTGCTAGAGAAAAACACATGCAACTGTAATTACAACCGTTTGCTAATCATGGAATACTGAGGTTTATGGATTTCCCTAACACCACCTGGAAGATGGAATGTCATGGTCATCTGACAGTGACAAAGCTGGGTTTCAATCTAGACTTCAACCTCTAAGGAGCTTCAAGACCTTAGTGGTATTTATTTAACACATATTAACTGAGCACTGATGGACTAAATGCCAGGCAGCACAGTACTCTATGCCAGAGAAAGAGCAAGAACACCCAAAGAGTGGCTGGCTATGTGACCGGGCCCTATTCAGATACTTGGGGCACAGTGTCCTGAGAACTATATAAAAGAAAGCTTCCATTCCTAAGCATGTGATTGGCTCTCAGAGTCTATAAGATATGACACTATCGATTGTCACAGAGTTAAAATGAGTCCAGTGGCTCTGCTCTCATTCAGAGAAATGACAGGAAAATCATAGTCGAAACAGGTTGCTCAAAGAATCTCAAGCTGGGGATATAGTTCAGTGGGTAAAGTGCTCACCCAGAGGACACAAGGCCCTGGGTTCAATCCTCAGCATCACAAAAATAAAATAAAAACAGAAATGTAAAAGCACACATCAGTCCTGACTTATCTGGGATATCTCTATTTTTCTACTGAATTTTCTACTTTGTATGTATCTCAAAAGCAACAACAACAACAAAAAGAATACAAAGTCAAGAACTAAAAAAGTCATAATAGGACAATGAACTCCATTATCAATAAGATGAAAAATTAAAAATAAATGTTTAAATATAAAAACTTACTGTCAGCTTCACTTGAGCTTCTTGTTCTGTTTGGGGAGAAAATGAAACGATTTAGAAAATGCTGTTTTAAATCTTTAATTTCCAAAAAACTAAAAAATTATCTGAAACAAAGAGTATATATACATATACACATATTTTATTTTATATAACAAATATAATAGATTTATTTTATATGCATGTGTATGAAAGTCTCTGCTCCATCTTATTCCTATTTTACCAATAGAGAAGTTTATAGCCATACAATTATTGTCACAGAAAAATTAATGCCAGTAAGGCATGTAAATCACTTATTATCTATGCCCCAAGCTAATTGAGAAATGGTGGCGTTAGTGGTTTTAATTAGCTGTGTGATCACACAACATATATAAGATTTAACTGTGTTTGTGTAGTTCTGGATCAATTAAACTAAAGGGTGCCTGAACTATGCAAAGCAGATGCCTACAAATGAGTCTGAGAATGTCTCTGGACAAGCCCACAAATCAGTTTCATTAGCCCACGTGGCCCCTAAATGTTCACAGGCTGAAATTAGCTCTCTTTAAATTGTTACTTGCCCTGCTCAAGTGCACAAGTGGCCATGGGCAAGTCTGAATAAAAGCATTCAAAGAATATCTCCAGTATTTAAGGTCCTTGGGGAAGAAAGTACAATTACAATTATTGTTTAATTTCATGCTGCAATAACCCACCACTCTGCATGAGCACAAACTACTGAACCTTTGGGAGGGGAAAGTCATGTGTCCTTTAGGTCTAGAAGCAGGCCTACATGGGGCTGTGGTGGCAGTTCCCAGGAAAGACCATGTCAACAGAGCTGAGGACCATAACTGAAAGTCATCTTCTACCTTCTTCATATCAACTGGCCTTCCCAGGGGATGATTTTCCTCTAACTCCATGACTTTGCAGATATTTTGATGTATGACTAGAAAAGTAAATACACACACACACCCTACAGGTGAAGTAGAAGCATCACACCAGAACAGCACCAAACACCTGCAGCACTAGCTACTTGGGATACTGAGACAGGAGGATCCCTTGAGCCTAGGAGTTTAGGGCAAGCGTGGGCAGCATGATGAGACCATGTCTTTTGAAAAAATTAAAACAAAATGGAGTCATCTTTACTTGGTTGTGCTTCAAATTTTATTTCTCCAAAGAAACAAAATTCAGGAATATACTCAATTCTACACCCAGATTCTCTCCTTCCCACCTTCTCTCCCTCTCTGTCTCAATCCTTGCCAGAGTTGATACCTTGACAATTTGAATGCCACTGAAAACCAGGAAATAGAGATCAACCTCATTCTGTAGAAGGAACACACTTTGGGGAATGGCTTTTGAAATCTAGAGAACAAGGCCTGGAATGACAGCTTAGTGGTTAAGAGTAGTTGTTGCTCTTGCAGAAGACTTGGTTTCAGTTCCAAGTATCCACCTGGTTGATCACAACCGTCCATAACTACAGATCCAATGGATCCCTTCTGGCTTCCATGCACACTGCACACACATGTATACATAAATATATGCAGGAAGAATACATAAAACGAAAGTAAATACATCATTTCTAAATATGGATAATAAATTTAAACAGGCCTTGGTTTGTTTATTTTATGATAAAATATATGTATTTTATACTGTAAACCACACTCACAATCTTACTATCTGAAAAGATATAACAATCAATCCATGTGTGAGTTTTTGATACTACAAAGGAATTGTTCATTGGCTGTCAAAGTACATATTTTATCACAGTATTCTTAAAGGGACTTGGGTGAGGAACTATTATCAGACACTGGAAAACTAGGAGAATATTATTTTCTACTCTTGCTAATATGAGGAAAAATAATGTCATCTCACAAGCATTCTCTTCTTCCTATTATGACCAAACTAAACTTTTGCTCCTAATCAGCCTGGAGGACAGAATCCAAAAGCTCTTGATGAGAGCCCCACAGAAATACTCACAGAAAACTCCTGTTGAGGTTGGTACTCCTAGGACACCATGAAGGGTTTTCATCTGGGTCCTGAGCAGAAGGGAACAGACATTACAAGTGCACCCAGCACACCCACCCCATCCTTTCAGTGACTCATCAGCAAAACACACCCTTTCTTCCTCTGACTGGCTCAGTACCTCTCTTTAAATCAACAAAGGAAACACAAGCTAGAAAGATGTATAATGTCGGCATGGAACCAGGGTAGCTCCATAGTTGATGGTTTTAATTGAATGAAATTACTTTTATGGAGACATTAAAAGGAAAATGCAGCATATGAAAATTTTCACAGAAATACAGATTAAGGAAGGAATGCAGGTCCAACTTGGCAGATAGAATAGATAATTTTTATCGCCAACTTAATATATTAAGAAACATATAGGGCATTAATGAATGTGATAGTTGAATGTAATTGGTCTCCATAACCTCATAGGGAGTGGCACTATTAGGTAGTATGGCTTTGTTGGAGTGTGTATGGTCTTGTTGGAGGAAGTATGTCATTGTGGGGGCAGGCTTTGAGGTTTCCTATGCTCAGAATACTGCCCAGTGAGTCAGTTGACTTCCTGCACCCTTCGGGTCAAGATGTAGCACTCTCAGCTCCAATACCCTTTCTACCTGCATATCGCTATGTTCCTTGTCATGATAATCATGGACTGAACCTTTGAAACTGTAAGCAAGCAACCCCAATTAACTGTTTTCTTTATAAAAAGTTGCTTTGGTCATGGTATCTCTTTACAGCAACAGAAAATCAAACTAAGACAGTGAGGTACAACTCTGGTTGTGTCTGTGAGGACATTTCTAGAGAGGATTAACTGGGGTGGGAAGACACAGTCTGAAGGAAGATGGCACCATCCCATGGCCCGGGGTCCCAAACTGAGTTAAAAACAGAGATGAGAAAGCCTGCTGAGTGCCATTATCACCTTTCTGCTTCCTGGTCTACAGACATGTTAGCAAGCATCCTAACTCTGTTACTCACACCTCCAACTATGCCTTCCAGGCCCGTGATTTACTATATGCTACAACTACCAGCCAAAATAGCCTTTGGCTCCATGAGATTCTTTGTGCTAGGTATGTGGTAACATCAGTCATTACATCATAACATCCCTGTCATAAGTACACAACTGCTCCAGATGAGGAGGGGCAGTCTCAAAGAGCATTACCCTGGATTTATCTCATTCTAATTCCTGTTTATCCAAGTCATACTTCTTGAGACACAGTATACCGCAGGCATTGTCCTAGGAATGTTCCTGTGAGGTATCTTGGTTGGATACTACTGACAATCTTGTAAAGATAGCATTTTACAGAGATAGTTAATGCCACTCCCAGGCTAACTGATGCATACAGCCTTAGCGGGGAGAGATGGAAATGATAGAATAGGTATTTGAACACAGGTCCTGCTTACAAGTATCTTCAAGTGAGTAGTTTCAAATTCTTTTAGATGCCATTGTTGCAAGAACTCCAGAGGATATTTATATAGGTAGTATTTACAGTTGCCAAGTTCAGTTATTCAAACCAAGACCGAAAATCTGTTGCCTTGGGTTGCTCTGTGTCGCATGCCACCTGTGAAGATGGCTCTAAAACGAGGCACTTATTTGTAGGTGGTAGAAAAGCAGAATGCAAAATTGGACATCCGGGCATTAGAGGAACACAGAAGGACCTTCACCCTGCAATGCTCCAGTCCCCTTCCCATGTCTGAACACATCCCCAGAGCCCATGCTGGACTAATCGCACTAGGAATTCATTGTCTCTGGAACCAATCATTCTATCCTTGAAAGACTCCAATTGGTAAAAGTTTCTTCTCAGATCAGTTGTCTCACAGTAATTCCCCCATGATTACCCTAGATCTGCCTCTGTTTGGAGAGAACTTGTTTCTCTTGCATTTGACAATGTTCACATGTCTGAAAACGTGAGTTCCTTCTCTTATGCTAAGCATGCCCAGGATAAGCAGACTGCATGAGGAAAGAGAACAAAAGCTAATATGGAGAGGTTAGAAAACTAAGCAAGGATTGACCTGAACATATAGTCCCCCAAGGGTTTCATCCAAGGCCAGTAACAAGCGAGGCCATTTATGGACTGTGGCAATAAAGCTTGTAGAGACAAATGAAGTGTTAAATGCACAAATTCTTAAAAAAAAAAAACTATCAAAATATTTTTACCTCTTGAGACCGCTTTAGGTAGTTACTGGCTCGTGTGGTATGTTGCTCAATTTCCTTCATTTTCATTTTCTGATATATATAAGGTTCTAAACCTTGTTTTTAAAAGAAGAAGAAAAATTAGAAAATTGGTTGAAATGTGTTACATTCAAATCACATTTCTCAAATAGAAAAATCTGGACACAGTACATTTATTTAAACTTAGATATAGTTTTCTCTATTTTTGGAAAGTTCCACCAAGTTTCATTTTTTTTCTTTTTTTCCCCTTGTGATTGAAAACTGTATATTCTATTTCTATTCTTCTATAGTCACATTCACATTTATAATAACTTCTACTTCTCTTTTTTAAATGTATTTATTATTGTTGTGAGGCATGCACGTGTGGCATTTGCACACGGAGGTTAGAGGACAGCTTCGTGGATCCCCTTCTCTCCTTCCACTCTCTCATAGATGCTGGGGATTGAACTCACGACCTCAGACTTGCACAGTGAGCACTTTGCCCACTCAGCCATCACAGCTACCCTAGCTTTTATTTGTCTATCAAAGTCAGGAATTAAATAATCCATAATGGTTTTCTTTCTATAAAACACATTCAGCAGTTTTTTTTTTTACATTCCCCATCTCTTGTACTCTGCTCCACAGACTTTAAAATATATGAAATTCTAGTTGTAAAATAATAATCCTTCCTTTATAAGGGCCCCAAACACAAAAGTAAAATAACAACAAAAGACAGAAAAAAAATGAATGCTCTCTATCAGGCCTAATTTTTATGATTTTCTTAGAAAGGATAATGAGAGATGTTATCTCATTGTGTTTACACCTTGTACCTACAGAGCGAGGAGTTGTAACAAATGTAAGAGACAATAATTATTTGTTTCCATGTGATTTTTGTGCCATAAGAAAAGTACATAAGAAGTACAAAGAAAGCTATTGGCATATGATAAAATTACAATAAATATAGTTTCAATGACAGTACTGTATTACCATTTAAAAAATTGTAGAAAAAATGTTTTATCTTCTCATAGTTTCTTTAAAATTTTGTGACTATACAGAGCTAACTGAGAACTGGGGTTGGTAGAGTTGATAGAGTGTCTAGTATGCATAGGCTGTAGGTTCAATCTCCTCAGAGAGTGCTTAGCATGCATGGACTCTGAGTTCAAAACCCAGCACTGCATAAACCAGGCATGGTAATGCACACCTGAAACCCTACCATTCAGGAGTTAGAGGCTGAAGGATCAGAAGTTCAAGGTCATCCTAAGCTACACATTATGTTTGAAGCCAACCTGAGCTACATGAGACACTGACAGAGAGAGAGAGAGATTGCTATTCCCCAAATTTTAGTTTCTCAATTTTTCAATTATTTTGCCATATGTTTCAAAAGAAACAATAAAGCTTCTCAATTCAAGATATGTTCCAAGACCTCACCAAATCTGCTGGGCCCTTGAGGTCAGCCATCTCCCTACTTCATCTCTAAACAAAAGAAGATCAGAAACCACCAGTGTTCTAAACACCACCCCTAGACCAGTGGTTCTCAATCTTCCTAATGCTGTGACCCTTTCACACAGTTTCTCATGTCGGGATGACTCCCAACCATAAAATTATTTTGTTGCTACTTCATAACTGTAATTTTGCTAGTTATGAATCATAATGTAAATATCTGATATGCAGGATGTCTGATATGTGACCGTGTGAAAGGGTTGTTTGACACCCCAAAAGAGTTGGGACCTACAGGTTGAGAACTACTATCCTAGGTGCCCTAGAGGCTTCTGCCAGCTGTAGGGGTTCAAGACTCCCCAAGCACGTACTTATCTGGCTGAAGTTGGACACAGTGAGCCAGTTGCCGCTGTGCTCTCCCGTGGAGCTTGTTTCCCCTGGCTCCGGATTCAAATGATCACTTTGATAGCAGGCATTGATCGTTATCACCTGGAGAGACAGGCACTTGTAGGAACGCTATGACACTAATCTGATAATATTTTACATTGTGTTTATAGACACACACAGTGGAAGGCAGTGATTAGAACTGACCACATTCTGAATTACTTGGGACACGTACAAACCCCATCATTCAAGCTAGCAGTACACACATGTCTGTGCGCCTTCCCTTTGTGGTCATGAGTAAGAACCAGAATGTGATGTGGGAACTGAATAAGCATCAGAATCACTCAGGACTCAGGAACAGTCACTGGCCTGCACCCTCAGGATTTCTATTCAGAAGGTCTAGGGGAGAGATGAGATTCAGATATCTAATGCCTTCCCCGGGGAAGCTCATGCCGCTGACTGGAGATCACGTTTCAAAATCTACTGATCTAGAGAGAGGGAAAGATTTCCATTCAAAGTGTTTGCATTGGAATTCTGTCCCATCAGAACTTGTGTGGACTTAGAAACTAGTTTACTCTTTCCGTCCTTCATTGTCTCCAACATTGAAGCAATAGATAGCCGGTATACCATGATTGTCTTACATCTTTCCCAGGGAGAGACAACAGGCAAATTGGTAAATTTCAAAGCAATAAATGAATGAAATTTTGAGTACTTGAGCTCGGGTAGAATTCCTAGTTGAACTAGACCATTTGAAATATTCTAAAATAAATCTCTTTAAATGCTTATCCCATGGTGTTCCAACAGCATCTTCTGAGAGAGTAGCCTTCCTTATCAGGCTAACTCTCCTCCTAACAGGTGATTTTACATAATTGCCTCCATCTTGTCTTGTTGCTTCTGTTTCTTTTTTAACTTAATTTGGGGGAAGTGTACACATGACTACTATATTTACATCATTTCCAACCTCCAATTCCTCACATGCCTCCAAGTCCTCTCAAACTCATGACTTTTTCTTTAACTATTGTTATATATATATATATATATATATATATATATATATATGTATACACATACATATGTATACATACAACACACTAAGTCCATTTAGTGTTACTCATATGTGCATCTGTAAGTAACAACCAGTTGGATTACTTATTGAGGACTTGTCCCTGGAGAAGACTGATTCTCCCTCTCTCAGTAATCAATAACTGCCCATACCTCTCCATCTAGGGGTAGGGCCTTGTGAGATATTCTCCATCCACACTGACCTATCAACTGATGTCATTGTGCAGGTCTTGTTTAGGCAACAATATTTTAGAGATTATGGACGCAATATACAGAAGACACTGCCTCACAGAAGACATCTTGGTCCTCTAGTTCCTATAACCTTTTAAAATATTCCCTAAGAGTTAGGTGTTGGGGTTGTGTTGTTGACAATATCTATAGGCTGGGGCTGGACACCCCATGGTCAGTTGTTCTCTGCATTTTGACCAGTTATGGGTTTCTATAATGGCTTTATTCTACTTCATACAAAAGCTTTTTTGATGAGGAGTGAGGAATAATGTACTTCAAGTTCTTAAAGATCACAGATGTTAACATAGAACACTGCACCAGCAAAACTATCCATCATAGTTGGATAAATACAAACATACTAAAAGAATTCATATCCACCAAACCAGCCCTACAAAAAATTGTGGAAGTCCAATACTCCAGGCTGAAGACAGGAATAAGCATCCAAGAGAGTATAGAAAAAGAACAAAGCTATAATTACTGAAACACAAAATAGGGCTAATACCACAAATAGCAAAATAGCAATGATAACAATAACAACATTGTATCAATCAACCTATCAATAATAAATATAAATATCAATGGCTTCAACTCCCCATTCACCTAAGGTTATTGGAATTGATTAAGAAACAAAATTCATCTTTCTGTTTTCTACAAGGAACTCAGTTTACCTTGAAAGTAGGTATCATCTTAAAGTCAAAAAATGAAAAGACGAAAAAAATCTCATTCCAAGCAAATGAGATTCCAAGCAACTGTCATTATCCTAGTATCTAATAAAATCAAAATCAAACTAAAACTAATAAGAAGAGAAATTCTAGTCAAGGGAACAATTAACCAAGAAGATATTATGAACTTAAACATATTTGCCCCAAACACTGGTAAGCTCACTTTCATAAAAAGCGTAATTCTGGATGTAAAAATGCAAATAAACTCCAGCTCAATATAGTAGGTAATTTCAGTACCCTACTTTATCCAGTAGATAGGTCATCTGAACAAAAAATAAATAAAATAAAATAAAATCAGAATTAAATGACAATGTATATCAATTGGACTTAATAGATATTTATAGAATATTCCACCCAAGACCAAAGAATGTACATTCTACTCAACAACCCATGGGATTGTCTCTAAAATAGACCACATAATGAGATACAAAACAAATCTTAACAAATTCATAAAACTGAAATAATTCCATTTATTCTTTCTGACCACAATGCAATAGAGCTTAAAATCAACACCAAATGAATCCCCAGTAGTTACACAAGCCCATGAAGATTAAACAACACATTACTGAATGACGAATGGGCCCAAAAAGAAATGAAAAAGAAATTAAAAGATTCCTGGTACTAAATGAAAATGAAAACAAAACACATTTAAAAAAAGAAAAAAGAAAAACTCTAGGACACTGTAAAAGCTGTCCTAACGGGAAAATTTATGGCTCCAAGTACTGACATTAAAAACATTTTAAAGACACAAATAAATGACTTAATGATACAACTTAAGCATTTGGAAAAACAAGAACAAACCAGAAACAGTAGATTGAAAGAAATAATAAAAATCAAAGCAAAAATTAATGAAAAAGAAAATAATACAAAGAATCAATTAATCTAAGAGCTAGTTCTTTGAGAAAGTAAACAAGATTGACAGACCCTGGGCCCAACTAACTGAAAGAAAGAAAGAGAGAACCCAATTTAACAGAAGCTAAAGTGATCAGGAAAATATTACAACAGACACCAAAGAAATTCAGAATATTAAAAAAAAGAATACTTTAAAAACCTATGCTACACTAAGTAGAAAATAGCAAAAATAGACAAATTTCTAGACTCATGCAAACCACTGATGTTAAGCCAATAATAAACGACCAACAAGTTAAACAGACCCAGAACAAATAAGGAGATTAAATAGTAATAAAAAGCCTTCAATGCTTCTTATTATTGTAACAAAGAGCGCTGAGTATTTTTTTTTTTTTTTTTTTTTTTTTTTTTTTTTTTTTTTTTTTTTGGTTTTTCGAGACAGGGTTTCTCTGTGCAGCTTTGCGCCTTTCCTGGGACTCACTTGGTAGCTCAGGCTGGCCTCGAACTCACAGAGATCCGCCTGGCTCTGCCTCCCGAGTGCTGGGATTAAAGGCGTGCGCCGAGTATTTTTTAAGCAACAGTTTATTCAGAAAAAAATACATGTAAATGAAAAAGAAAATAAAACAACACAAGAAGAGCATGAAAGATGAACTCTTGAAAAATAGAGTCATTCTGACAATATATTTGAAAGTCACTGGCCTAACATGAAAACAGCCCTGGAGTTTGTCACTGGAGTTTGGAGGACCTGACTATGTGCACTTGAATGCCTATATTCAAAAACAAAAGTCAAAATATTTACCTGTATGAAATTGCCAGGGAATAAATTAAAATACTCTTTTTAAATACTGGAAATTCCCAAATCACTTGCCAAATTTTCTAACTTGAACTAGAAAGAGAAAATCAAGTCAAACCCAAAGTAAACTGAACAAAGGAAACAGAACTGAACTCAAAGAAAAATCAATAAAATTGAGTTTGTTTTTCAAAAAGAAAAAAATTAACAAAACAGATAAAAACCTGCAGCCAGACTAGTTATGAAACAAAGAAAGGAAACACAAATTCAAATGCTCAGGATTTAAGAGACAGTGTCACTACAGGTCCTTCATGCAGCAGTAAAACAGCAACAAGAAAATATCACAAGGAGGCAGGTAGAACACACCTGTCAGCCCAGCTTCTGGGGCACTGAGGTGGGAGGAGCATGCGTTCCAGGCCAGCCAGAACACATAGTGATGCCCTGTCTCAAAGACAGAGCTGGAGAGAGGGGCAGGGGAGCAAGAGTTATCAGAAATAACACTGTGCCAATTAATAAGATCCACAGACCCTTGGCCCAACTAACCAAGAGAAAGGAAGAGATGTCCCAAGTTACCAGGAGCAGAGATGTACAGGAAACATTAAGCAAAATGGATAAAGACTTTAAATACAGAAACGGTCAAAAAACCACTTAAGAATTTGATCATCTATATAGTCCTGTGACTGTTACAGATACTTAATATGTAGTTAAAAACTTTCCCATAAGGGTGGTTTTATTTGATAATTCAACTGAATATGTAATGTTGAAAGATTATCAACTTTTTACAAACTCACAAAAAAAAAACAAAACTGAAAACATACACCCAATGTAGACAATGATCCTGGGATAATTCTGATACCCAAACCAAAGCTATGACAAAAAAGGAACTAAAGACAATGCCCCAACACAGGTGCAAAAAGACTAACAAAATTAATATCATATGTAAATATACATAGGTGGACAAGTGGCATTTATCCCAGTAATGCTGGTTTAATGCTCAAAATCTTAACTCTAACATTGTAAAATCAATTAACAAGGTAAAGAAGAAAATCATCTAAACTGGTGCACAATAATATTGACAAATATCATATTTAAAGACAAAAGACAAAGCACTTTCCAGGAGCAATAAAAGAAAACACAAAGGCCCTGGTTCTGCCTCCATTATAGTTCAAAGAAAAATAAATGGAAAGATGCCCACTTCCATCACTTCTCTTTAACACTAAGTGTTTTAGCCAGTGTAAACAGGCAAAAAAAAAGTTAGTATGTCCAGATTGAAAATTAAGAATTAAAACAGCATCATCAATTATCATCACTTAAATAAAACATCATCAAAAAACTTCCAAAAGCAAAAGTGAGTTTGGCAAAATTGTGAAATATAAGACCAAGGCTTTACACATACACACATACACACACATACACACACACACACACACACACACACACACACACACACACACACACAGAGAGAGAGAGAGAGAGAGAGAGAGAAAGAGAAATTTACTGTTTTAATGTAACTAAAATTACAATAAATTTTAAAACTTTGATATGTATTTTCAATTCTTAGATACACATGTAACAAGAGATACTCAAGACCTGAATTCTAAAAACTACAAAGAATTACTGAGAAAAGGTTTAAAAAGACCTCTAGCTAGACATATATCACTTCCAATAGATCAGACACCTAACTATGGATAAGATGTCAATTTTTCCACAACTGGCATGCAGATTCAGAGCAATTCTGTTCCAAATCCCAGAAGGCTTCTGTGTAAAAACTAAAATCTGAGACTAAATTTATACGTAAATGCAAAGAACATAAAATAGCCAAATCATTTCTTGAAAAACGAAGGATTTCTTTTATGCATGATTTCACAACTTATAAAGTTTCGGTAGTTGAGATAGATTTAGTATTGGCATGGAGATAGACCAAAATAGAGCCACACATACTGTGTGGGTCTGTATAGTCAATTAGCTTTTGACAAATGTTAAGGTAATTCAATAGAAAAAAAAGTCACATTTTTACCAAAAAATGACAGAATTTTTTGATATTCATATGAGAGAGAAAATTCAGTCCTTTCCTATTCTCATATACAAAAATTACCTTAAAATGGGCTTTAGAGCTACTGTTGAAACTAAAAGTATTAGGAATCCTATCTGAAAACAAAACGCAGTCTTCGTGATTATCTTGGGTTCAGGAAGGGAAAGCAAACCTTTAACTGCAGAAGGAAAAAGTCAAATATTTGATCAAAATTTTAAAAATAAATCTCCGTACATCAGACAACAGTTATGAGAACAAAGGGGTAACATTCTAGTGGGAAAGAGGGGTCACAAAAACACCCAGCAACAGACTAGAACGCACAGCAAGAGTTTACAACTGCACAGTCAGCAAACAAATCCAGCTCTACGTTCTATAAACGGCCCAGACAGATGAGTCCAGATGAACACATGGGAGTTCTCCTAGGAGCTTGAGTCAATACTCACTAACCTCACAACGGTGCACACTACAGGGTCACCAGTGCACCTGAGATTAAGACCGAGCTTCATGCAGACAGATGTGGAAGCAGAACAGCTGGTATACTCACAAACCATACATGGACACAGGAAGCCATGTGGTGGCATTGCTAACAATTACACAGCACAGGATGCTGGCATTCCTCACCCTCTCCCAAGGACTTGCCAAAGAGAAATTAAAACAAATGTTCATGAAAGGACTTATACACAAATGTTCACTCAGGCTCTCTTAGACTAGCCCAAACTGGAAACAACCTGACCGGCTTTCAGCTTGTGAGGAGATAAACAAGTCAAAATGCATGTCTTTACTCTTCCCTGTACATTGTTATTGTGTGTTCACAACAGGAGCCAAGGGGAGATGCTACTAACTCAGTTGCTCAAACCCTGAAGTACAAAGGGAGGAATACTTACTGGCACCTGGAGTCCCTGAGTCCTCGTCTTCTTCTTGGACAGACTCCTGTTCTTGGTGAGGAGTTTTGCTTTGATCCATGTTGACCCTGTCTCTGAGGATCTTGAATGGCCTGGAAGAGAAATGGTGTACATGTGAATGCTGAAGGCCATATACAGAGACAATTTTGTCTTAAAGAGGGGGCTGGGATAATGAGAAGAATGATGCTATCCTCAATAATCCCAGGCATTTTCAGAAGAGTAACAATGAAAATGACCACACTTTTTAAAATGTTTGCTCTTCACCCAACCCAGCCATAAATGGATGTCTTTATAACACCTCACCCCTCAAGATTCAGGAATCAATACAGAAAAAAAAAGGTGGAAAAAAAGACTGTGGTAAATAGAGATGATGGATGACTCCAAGGAAACGGTGCTTTCCAGACAAAGCAGGGTTGATGCATATATGAACTCACAAGGACTGTGACAGCGTGCATAAGACCTCCACAAGTTCATGCGAGACAAAAATGCCAGTAAGAAGGGGAAGTGGACACTAAGTTCCACCCTTAACCAAGAAGCTATTGCAATTAATAGCTGCTGAGAGACAGGGCAAGGATCACTTTTCTCTAATGGAGTACCACGGCTAAATCAACTGGACCCCAGGCAGGGCAAGTCCCATGGTCAGGAGTAATTGGCTAATGCAAACAACTCCATGATGTGTGTGTGTGTGTGTGTGTGTGTGTGTGTGTGTGTGTGTGTGTGTGTGTGTGTGTGTGTGCTTTTTGTTTTGTTTCTAGCTTGGTTTTGGTTTGTTTGCTTGTTTTTTGTTTTTGTTTGTTTATTTGTCTTTGAAGAGAGAAAGAACATGACGTTGTGGGGGTAGGGGAAGATCTGAGAGGAGTTAGGAGATGAAAGAGAATATGACCAAAATACATTGCATGAAAAGTTTGAAAAATAAAAACTAAGAAAATGAGTGAGAAAAAATTAAAGCATTTGTTCCTTACTGTTGTTCTTCCAGATCTTCCTCAGTTTCTCCTCCTTGTGGAACCTAAAACTCCGACTCCTAATGAGAGGTCTGTCTTTACAGAGAGGATTGATCCAAAAAGATCTTCTTGGCTGGGTCCATGGTCCAGCCACCACTGAGCGCTCACTACGCTGGGCCAGTCGTCTTGAGTTATCCAGTCCAGACCTGCCTCCGCTCTGCAGGGGGCATTCTCTGCCTGGAATGGACTCACTGCTGCTAGTGGAGGGCAAGCAAGTTTTCCACTTTTTCTTAAAACTAAACACACGGGTTTCATCACTTTCTGAAAATGCCCAATTCACATATCCACCTCCAGCTTGCATGCTGATGCCTCGGGAAGGAAGAGAAGTCGTTGTCGTGGGAGCAGGCATGCCACTAAGCGTGAGTGGGTCTTCTGCCTTGTCATATTTGTCTGACATCTGTGTGACTGCCTCATGATGTTCCTTGTGTTCTGCTACCAATGCTTGGTGGGAGGCAGCAGGGGTCTGCACAGGCAGATGGATGGTGATATCATGTTGGCATATATGTTCCAGTGCCAAGCCATCTATGTGGGCCTCTTCAGATGATCTGAAAATATGTGGGGGTTTTTCCAAAGGCAAAGGAACTTGCTTTTCAGAAGATGGGACCAAGAGAAACTGGCCATACTTAGAGTGGGCTTGTCTGACATGAGACACCCCAGAAGCAACTGTCCTTGATTCAATTTCTTCTTCCTCCTGTTCTTCTCTTACATGTGAGGCCTCTCTCTTACCGTGTGTAATCTCTATGAGGGCACCGTTATGCCCTCTTGGGGGAAGCTGGCTTCTGGCAAGACTCCGCAGCAAAGAAGGGGGCATGCTATAGTACTGAAATTTCTTCTTTTCACAGCCCTCCATGCTGCTTAGAACATTTGCACAGATGACATTGGTCCAGCTGTGGGGACGTTTTCTACAAGTAGAATTCTTTCTGTTGGCCAGACGAACCTCATCTTCTTGCAATGTGTCAACAGCTGAAAGGACCTTTAGGGTGTCAACAGTCAGGGCCGAGAGATCCTGGAGGTGTCCCACCTGGCTGTCCAAGGAGAGTAGGGAGTCTTTTATAAAAGATACTTTGTCATTCATTTCTTTCAGTTGGAAGAACATCTCTGAAACCCTAATGGTGAAGATAGGAAGAAAACCAATAAAAACATTATTCTGTTGGAATTGTTTTTGCTCTCTTCTTGATTTGCTTCCAGCCATAAGTGACAGCTATATCTTACCTGCTTCCCAAAGCTAAGCCTACCTCCTATGCTGTTCTCTCTCTAACACAGTATGTATTCTAATCCCAGGTGATCTTGATTTCCTCTATCTTCCCAGGGAGGAATATGATAAATCTATATGCCCAGCCCTCATGTCTTTCTAATGTCTCAGAGCCAACTTTCAAGCTGCCTGAAGGTTACCACTGCAATTATCTGATGGATCAGCCCATTGTTAGTCACTAATGTATTCATTCTTTTGCATGACAAACATTGGAAAACCTTCTATTGGACAATCCCAGTGGGAGGAGATCCTAAAACAAAATCAAAACAATTGAGACAGAAAACACCTCCAACACCGTAGTTCAAATATACTTCTAATACTCCAAATAAAATCCATTTTAGATCTATATTCAGAAAAGACATAAGGCAATTTTTAAAATTATTTTGAATGCATGAACTCAAAGTTATGATATCTGGCCATTAATTTATGAAAAATCAATATGGCACATTCTTCATTAGACTCGCTTAAGAGTAAACTGCAAATAAATTGGATTGAGATAACAATTCCATTCACAGAGAAGAAACTAATAAAATCTTGATTGCTAAATGTTTATCTGTACATATCATTGTAAATATCTCTAGTGGGGACGTTTTGTTTCCTTCAAAAAACATATGTTGACATTTTAACCCAAGACCCTTATTTGGTTCTTTACAAAAGTAGTCAAGTTAACATTAGGTCATTTGCTAAACCCTACCTGAAGACAAGGAACACAAATATAAGAAAAAAAGTCATTCTCAGTCCATACACTGTTATTTGTATGTGTGTATTCAGGGGCTGACTGTTCAGTCTGTTGTGGTCTTCACTAGGGAAGACTGTTTCTCCTGTTCTCAGCCTTCCTTAGTTGCCTGTAGCTCTTTGTCTAGGGTTGAGACCTCTTGAGCTTTCCCCTTTCCATATTATCCCGTCTATTAAAGAAAAAGAGGCTGCAAATTTGCAAGAGAGGATGGGGGCAAAGTACATGGAAGTAGGTAGAGGGAGGAAAGGGAACAAGAAAATTGTGTAACTGTATTATAATCTCAAAACCATTAAATATGTCCCCCAAAGGCAAGAAGAAGAGGAAGAAGAAGAATCTTAGCACAGACAAGCACAGAAGGAAGAAGATGTGAAGACACACTGAGAGAAGATGGCATTGGGACCAGAGTTGTATAGCAAAAAGCCAAGAGCTACTACCACTGACAAGCAACCAGAAGCTAGTAAGGCAAGGAAGGACTCTTTTCTAGGGACATCAGAGAGAGTGCAGTCCTGTGACACCTTGATTTTGGACACTTAGCTCCAGAAACATGACACAGTGCTGCTGATGGTGGAGCTAGAGATGTAACCCAAGCCCCTCTGAGAAGCCCCGGAAGATGGTGAGCGAATCCAGATGTTGAGCATGGAGTTGCTTGCATTGCTGGACTTTGGTTTTGGTTTTGCCTTGTCTAGGCTGTGGCTGTGCCCTGCTCCCCTCTTGAAGTAAAAAAGAAAGGATACTGAAGTTATTTTTTTATATTGTAGGAGCCCACAGTTGAGAGATCTTAAACTTTTTTAAAAGGAAATTCCAGAGTGTTACCAAAAACCTTAGTTTTCTGTCAATTCCTCATTTTACCTTCCAGAGTAGGGGAAGAGATAACAAGAAACTAGAAAACATAACTCTCTTCTGTCATTCCTGGCCTCCAGTAGTGACATTCTTGGAATTACTGCTTTGGGGTCCCTTCCCATCCTGACCACTTTCTTCCTCCTGTTCTCATCAGTCTGACTAAGGAATGGTCAATCCTCAGTCCCAATGGTATTTTTATGAGCAGAGTTTTGTACCTAACTGCAATTAGTTCTGGGATTTTGATGAAATAACATTATTGTTAGAGTCATAAATTTCCACAATAAATGAGAATTTAAAAAATAAAAAAACTAGATTTTTTTAATATTTAAATTTATAAGGCTATGGGACATTTTAAGTTTATAAAACAGATTACATTGTAAAAAAACAGATTACATTGTAATGTCTTTATTAATATGTAATCTTTAAAAGATTAGTAAAAATAAATAAATGAGTTAGGGCCACCACTATGAGCACCAAACACTAAACACTAGAAACTGGGATGTTCCTATCATATGATGCAGCAAAGACAGTGATCTAATCAGTCTGGCAAAGAGTCTATAGAATGTCTCTCCTTCCTAAGGTCTACTTAGGCTAGCAGAGACCAACTTGAGAATGTATGTCTAGCTTCTTTGTCTTTGCTAATTTTGTTAAGCTTTAGCTATTTTGATAAACTGAGTCATACAAGAAACTGTGATATTCTGTAATGGTGCACTATGTAAAGACCAGGAAAGTAATGGTAATGTTGCCAGTCTCTCTATGGGTTATATATATGATTTAAAGTTTTATTTTGATACTAAAAGGGCTTTAATTCAAAAATTGTTTTTTGGGGTTTTTTTTTTTTTTGGTTTTTTGAAACAGGGTTTCTCTGTGTAGCTTTGAGCCTTTCCTGGAACTTGCTTTGTAGACCAGGCTGGCCTCGAACTCACAGAGATCTGCCTGGCTCTGCCTCCCAGTGCTGGGATTAAAGGCGTACGCCACCACCGCCCGGCTAAAAATTGTTATTTTTTAAGACTAAACCTAGCAGGGATAAAAATGCAAATCTTAATCCTACAAAAGCCACTGACTTATAGTAAACTGTTGAAGATGATTAAGATATGCAAGCTAATAGTCATAAATGATCAAATTCTTTAATGTGTTCAGAACTATACTTGTAATCATGCAAAGTACTAATATAATTAATTACAGGAATAAGACGTATTTAGCGTCTTGTATGTTTTCAAGGTTAAGCCTAAAGCAAGTAATAACAACAACAAAAAGTAAATTTAATTTGAAATCAGGCACACTTTTTTGTTGTTTTGTTGTTTGTTTTATTTTTCAAGACAGGGTTTCTCTGTGTAGCCCTGACTGTCCTGGAACTCACTTTGTAGACCAGGCTCACCTCAAACTCAAAGAGATTCACCTGCCTCTGCCTTCTAAGTGCTAGGATTAAAGGCATGTGCCACCATACCCAATGGAATCAAGTACACTTAATCGTTGGCACTCAAAACTTTTCAGAGATCTGATGAACCTGGCATTTAAAATGTTTAATGGGAAAAAGCTTCCTGTGATAGACAAAAATGCCAGATCCTTGAAACAACCCTAAGGTCTCCAAAGAAAACAAAAACAAACTGGGCATAGACCTGGATTGTGGTGATGCTAACCACTGAGAAAAACTTCCTCATGCCTCCCCAGCTGCCAGGGCCCTGCACCAACTGTGGACACTGTCGGTTGACTGTCTACTCTAAGTCAAAGTAGACCAATTTTTTCAAGTTCTTTGTCCACAAGAAAAGCTCTCAGACTTTCTGAGACTGGCAGCCAAAGGCCTATGCTTTCCTGCGCAGCAACTGGAGATGCAATGCTGTCCTGTGTGACAGCCAAAAACCTCCAACCTCTGCCCTGCAATGCTGTCCTGTGTGACAGCCAAAAACCTCCAACCTCTGCCCTGCAATGCAGTCCTGTGTGACAACCAAAAACCTCCAACCTCTGCCCTGCAATGCAGTCCTGTGTGACAACCAAAAACCTCCAACCTCTGCCCTGCAATGCAGTTGTAGAGACCGCAGGAGCCTCCCAGGTAGCAGGTAAGTCTCTGTCATTTTAATCGCTACAAAGGCCATTTGGTTTATACTTCCTGCTATAATTTATCCTTCTCAGATCTCTGGTGGTGTTGATAGCTAACTGTAGCTTTGTCCCTTTGGCAGCAACAGGCAACCAGCTCCTCCCACAAGACTGCAGCTACCTTATTACTTCATTTTATATGTAAAAAATCAAGGCTTGATTTTTTCTAGAGCTACTAGGTCTCCTGCTGAGAAAGGCAGAAAGGTTTACCTTGCTAATGGCTTCATAATAAAGGATAAACATGTCTCAGATGTAACTTTTTACTATTCTTTTATTTCAAAAAAAGAAAAAAGAACTTGTTTTGCAATGACTGTTCTCAGTAACTAACTACTTGTGCCTCGTGGTAAATGATTAGATGGAAATAAAAAGGTTTGAAGCTTAAGTTGTGAAGATCTAAAAAAAAGTATTTTAAGATGTGTAAATGCAAGTTATAAAAGTCTAAGGAAGTTATTTAAGGTATGTGAAAAATGAGAAATGTTTCAGATTTCTTTCCCTCTCTATGCTATTGTTATACTAAGGTTTCAAAAGTTCAGAGATTTAACATTGATCAATGGAGTTATGATAAGATGGTAAAGTACTGACTACATCATAATCACAAGCTCAAGATTTTAAATTTCCTTTGATTGTCTTCTAAGTATAGACTTAAAGGTCCTTCTCATTGGGCTAAACACATCTCTGTCCAATCCATATATCCAGCCCTCTGGGAAGAGAAAAGAACGTTCATGATTTTTTAGCCCAAAGCCATAGCTTTTGCTATGACTCAAAGGCATGAGTCTACTCCAGCTGTTTTATAGACACCTGTTAGCTGCTTTTTCTGTAATGTAGATTTTAATACAGATTACAAACAATGATAATGTTAATATATTTAAAACTTTTATCTCTTTTATAAACAAAAAACAATTATGTAAGTTTCAGGAAGTCAAGGGAGTCAGAAGACTTGGATCCACCTCTCACAAAGACTTGGGACTCCCCCACTCCCCCAACTACCAGGACGATGAGATTGGAAGTTCCAAATGTAAGATTCCCTTTAAGTTTCTTAACTTTAACTTCTACCCTTAATCTATATCTGTCCCAGTAGATTTCCACTTGGCTAAGAAACATCATCTAGGAACCAGCTGAGTACTACACACTGCTCCAAGAGTGATCTACACCATGCCAACCCCTGGTAGTCCTACAAAACTGGA